TTTTGCGCCGCTAACGCAATGCTCTACCACTGAGCCACAGGAACAGTGGTAGAGCATATTTAATAATAAAATAATTATTATTAAATATGTTTTAATATTAAATTATTTAGAATACACCAAATTACTTATTGTACATCATATTATTGTTGTGGTTATATTATAAAAGCACTGGTTTTAAGTGGGTTTTTTACTTACGCCACTTTGTTTTGAGCCAAACAACTTTGTAAAATCACTGTAATTCATGCCAGTTGGTGATGTTTTTGATTGTTATTTTTGCATTCTCAAGAATACGTTTCATGCATTAAACTTCAGTTTGATGCTCAGTTGGATCTTGAATGGGTTTTGTGACTGGTGATCATTGCTGTTATGTTGTGTAGGTTTGCTGGGCAGTCCGAAGCGGGAAGAGTGGCTTCAGCTGAGGCGGGAGATGGAGGTTTTGACGGATCTGTGGCTGACGCAGGCACTCAAAGCTCTCGCTCTCATCAACTCCAGGTGAGCACAGCACACATACGACAATACAGCCACTCGTTACAGGAATATTCCAGCTTAAATAAACGAGACACTTGAGTGTCGTAGAGTTCAAGAGCAGAAGCTACTTTCTGTGGTAACCGACAGCGCGCCACAGATACGGAATCTGGAATATTCCTTTAACAATAGACTTATTTTACAGCAAGTTACAGCAGTTTTGTGTCACTCAAACATAATGGGTTTTTGGCAAGCAAAGCACACTGTCAGCATGAGAGATTGATGACACTGACAGATGATGATTAATAGCACTTGATTTGCCAAGAGATTTCTGTCTCATGACTTCTATTTAACACAAAAGCGAGGTTTAGCAGAACATCTGAGCTGCTTTTCTCCATACAATGGAATCAACATAGTGACCAGAGCCTGTCAAGATCCCAAGTTTATCTCTCGCATTTTATATCTTGCAATTATGAGTTATATTTCAGAACTATGAGTTATATTTTGGAATTATGAGTTTATATCTCGCAGTTATGAGTTTATATTTCACAATACTTTTTTATCTCGCAATTACGAGTCTTTTTTGCAATTATGATTCTATCTCACAATTCTGAGTTTATTTTTAGCAGTTCTGAGTTTATATCTTGCAAATGAGTTTTTTGCAATTATGACTTTATATTTCACGAATGAGTTTATATCTCGCAATCCTGAGTCTTTTTCACAATTCTGAGTTAATATCTCGCAAATTAGTTTATATTTTACAATTAAGAGTCTTTTTTGCAATTATGATTCTATATCTCACAATTCTGAGTTTATTTTTCACAGTTCTGCATTTATATTTGAGTTTATATCTTGCAAATATTTCACAATTCTGAGTTTATTTCACAACAGTTTATATCTTGCAATTAAGAGTCTTTTTTTGCAATTATGATTCTATATCTCACAGTTATGAGTTTGTATCTCACAATTCTGAAAGAAAGTCAGAAAACTGAGAAGCAGTTGCTTTTTTTTTAATCCATGACAGAAATAAACATCCATAAGAAATAGATGCGAATGTAAGCCTTTATTCACTAAAATCTTCCTATCCATCAAAGCTCTAAATCTCTAGAGAAACTCTGCAAAACTAAATCCAGACCAGATTTTTATTTGCGACTGCAGCACTATTCCTTTAAGAATGGTTTTCGTGAACGAGTTACTTACATATTGTTCCCTTGGACAGAGCGAACTGTGTGAACGTGATGGTCACCACCACGCAGCTGATTCCAGCGCTCTCTAAAGTGCTTCTCTACGGTCTTGGAGGAGCTTTTCCCATCGAGAACATCTACAGCGCCACCAAAACAGGTTCGCAGCCTCTTCGTACGCTGCATTTCAGCCAGTTTTCCAGATCTAGCAACTGAACTGTTAACGTTGTGTTCTAGGTAAAGAAAGCTGCTTTGAGCGCGTGACTCAGAGGTTCGGCCGGAGAGCCGTGTATGTGGTCGTAGGGGATGGTGTGGAGGAGGAGACGGTCGCCAAGAAGGTATAAAGGAATAATGCCACACTGCTGAATTAGTACTGTAATGCATTATGGTATTAAAAATAGATTTATTATTACTGGTATTGTTATGGTTCCATGTCAAGAGAAACATGGTATTACTGTACCATGGCATCTTTCTATTAGCAAAAGGTTAAGTGAATCCAAACTGTTTTGAGAAAGAAAAAAAAAAAAACATTTAACTACCACGACACATTAAAAAAATATTAATAATAAAAATAATATATATATATATATTTATATATATATATATATATATATATA